TCGCGAAGCGGGCGGGAGGTGACTATGATCTGGAAGTTCTTTGGCAGTTTCGTGATATGGGTGATGGTTGGGTCTCGAAGTTTACCGGAGAGAATGCGAAGAAGGTCGCTACATGTCTCCACTGCCTCGCCACTTTCGTCCAGTGCGTCGATAACAATCACGACGGGCCCCACGGGTGACTCAGAAAGCTTCCCTAACGGTTCTATAAGAAGCTTCTGCCACTGCTGTACGACGTCCGTTGTAGTCTTGAACGCAGTTTGATTCTTGACTGCATGCGCTAACGCTCGTCTCATCTCCGGATGACGGTCAGCCAGGTCTCGCGCGATAGTGGAGAAAACCTTTTTGTGGCGATCCTCCGTATTTCGGTCGAAGCAGTAACAAGTACCAAGTCCGCCCACTCCGATGAACGAGCTGGCAATCGTGTGAGCAATGGCTGATTTACCCGTTCCGGCAGGTCCGGATAGCCATAGCACACGTTCGACATTGTCTCTGCTGTTGTTGATCCACCCCATGATGTCAGAGAGAATGTCAGTGCGGGTCTCTTGCAGGCACCGCTTCCTAGTATCTAGTCCTGTGGCCTCTGCATAAGCCATACCACTGAATTCCAGTATTTCGCCTGTAGAAGTATGAATGTATGTCGAATCAGAAGCAAATACAATCCTCACTTGTATCGTGAATATAGGTGGCTATGTCGCGAGTGACTTGGTCGCGGAAGTTTTGCATGAGCGCATCCAACACGTCGCTATACCGTTGTATCGCATCATTTGTTTCCGAGATGATGTTCTTTCCGAGTCTCTCCCCTATGATACGATTGAAAATGTGCAAAGTGTAATGACTTGTTGGAGACTCACAAAAGCTTTTCTTGTCTGAATAATCCCTGATGAAATTGGCGCATTCTAGGGTCTGCTGAGAGATCTGTCCCAAGACATCCTTCATTGACGAAATCTTGAAAAGCGTGTCGTCTTGCGTTATGAATCCATACACTTGACCCAACTTCCTGTACAGGTCGAGTACCACTTCGTCATGATCCGCTTGAGCAAGAATTATCTGCGTGCAGAACAAGTGAGCAGGAAATATGAATAACGGCAAGAAAAACGTACTTTTGATGCGCAAGAAAGCACGCCCAATGCCATCTTTGCATATGGATGCACCTGCAGAACGTTGTTAATCTAGTTCTAAGAGAAAGAGAGAGAACAAACCTCTGTTATCGTGCCGATGACAGTGTCGAATACCCTAAGAGGTTGAAGATAGGTGGTCCCTATGCTATCTATGGTATCGAGCGCTGCCAATCCATTTTTGCCTCCGGATAACACAGGTCTCGCACGTCCCCAAATTTGGTTCATCTGATCTGCACCACGACCAGCATCCTGAAGTGCCTTGTTCACAGATTGGGGATCAGCATCTTGTTGCACAACAGCAGAAGTATCCTGAGCCTGGTGTAGTCAGCAGAAGTTAAACAGAGAACAGACATCGGAATGTCACCTACCTGAACGGAGTCGCGGCTGCGTGTTGAATCATTGAACTTTGAGCGCTTGTGTAAGATAGTATCAGCCTTATACCCGGACTGAGTATTGATTTCGACTTACAGAAATCTTTTTGACCACACCATTCTTAACCCTGCCCAGCAAGCGACAGATTTTGCCACGGGGTCGGCCCTAGAGAAAGGATGGATCGACATTGAGTTTCAACTTCATGAACATGAACCACTTACCCGGCGCTCAGCAGTATTTGTTTCGTTGGGTGTCTCGATGTCTGGAGGAGGAACTGACCTGGACTCGGGGTTCCCCAATTGAATGGAGTTGTTCATGGTGAATAGTTGATTACAGTAGTGCAAGACAAGAAGTTGGAGAACTAAGGTGCGCACCGGCCTCGAGGCAATGTTTGCTGCTATGTTGACTTCAGGCGCTAAGCATTGGGTGCGTGCCACGGAACTCTGGGAAACACAAGGAAGAGTCCGAGTCGAAGCAAGAATGAATCTGATTGGGCTATATATAGCTGCATATACTTGAATACCGGATTGAAGTGAGTGCAAAGTTGAAAATAAAAAAAAGAACAGCGCATACTTCTGTACTATTAAATGTTGTGTAGGTGATCGGATGGCAACTTGAACCAAACTCATCAGTGAACTGACCTCATTGTTTAACTGGGTGCTAAGCGCTAAGCTCTAAGGCCTGGGACTTCCGATTTCTCCCGCGAAACAGTTTGCTGAATGTGTGTAATTATTGACTTCAACCGTCTGAGCTCGGATTCCGTCTCTTTGCATTGTTTGCAACGCCCCAGTCTTTGTAAATCTCTCCCCTCATGCTATTTGCGTGCTGCTACATAGTAAAGAACAACTATTTTAAGTGAACCGGTGACTATTCCCATCCCACTGCTCGTCACCTACCCCATCAACGATTTCTTTCGCATCATCGATCGCGCAACCACCTCCCAGGCTCAAATCGCGAAGGAGTACATGTCGTGGAGTAGATGGAAAGACGAGAAAAGTGAGACACACCACCAACCTTTGAAGGAATTGAGTCGCTCATGCTTGGTATGAACAATGCTTGTAAGCTATAATTCCATCATGATCATTCAGTGAGTCTCCAGCGCCTGCAGTTCCAACAATCCATTTTCTACAGTATTATCATGTTCAAATTTGACCTCAGATGTTCATCTTAGCTGTGAGCTGTTCAATGTTGGCGTGTATGGCCAGGTCAGCACCTCTTCGATATTGACATTGCCAGCACGAGGACTGTCACTTTATCGATCCCGACTCTCTGGACGTTGAGTGAACGAGTAAATGAGGGTGAAAAAGTGAGCTTTTGATCTTATCAACGTTTCATAGCTAATATGCCTTTGATCTATCGCTGGCAGGTCCAACCCACGGTGTTCTGTTTACTCTAAACCAGACACCTCATACACTCATATCATGTCCTCCTTCCACTCTCTATTTGTGTCTCGATCAGCAGTGTCCCACAAATTGTTCAATCGACACCAATGGCCAAGTGGAAACGCTCACTAGTGTGTCGCTACGTGCAAATCGGCTTGCAAGGGTGGGATATCCTATGTGATGCATATTCCACCAGCGCAAAGAGCGAATTTATTGCAGCAGTCACTAACGGCTTCGCAAGGCTGGTCACGTTGGCTACAGATTGGTGCCCTTACTGCGATACACATTGTAGTGTAAGCTGGACGCTTACCATCTGCTTACGAACCATGGATCACGTGTTACGTTCCCTTTATATTGTGACATTCGACGTCATATTGCTTAGACTCGGGTCTCCTACGTACCACCACTTGCTCGCCTGTATAACGTCCTAAAGAATCATAACTTCGTCCTATTAATCTCGCCCGATTCGTCTTAGTGTTACTTGCCGATCCTCGGCGGGTTTCCACCTTTTTTTTAATAGAAATGAACTAATTGATCTCCTGACTCATTATCAACCAGATTGCAAACCGCCGGGCTCCCCGCCCACCAATTGACCTGTCAAACTGCCTTCTCTGCGAAGGACACCCACCGTTCTCGAACCTCTCGTTACGCGACAGCGTGCGAGGAACCAAAGACCCCAACCGCCACCTGAACGATCCTCACCAGATCCATCCCTATCCACTTTGACCTCTATACCCTCGAATCCTAGTACACCTGTTGGACACGTCACGCCACCTGCATACTACGACTCCTCCTCAGAATCTGACCTCGAAAACACGCATACATTCCATTCTCATACTCGTAAGATGACGAAATCTGCCATTGTTGAACAAGCCGCTCCCAATAAACTGCCAAAACTCCTACCGGGCGAGCTCACTCCAGAAGTGGCTCGTGACTGGGATAATGCGTGCACCACATATTTCATGCATAAGGGAGTCGTCGCGGCAGACCAGGTGAAAATGGTAGCGTTTGGAATGATGGACCCGCGTCTGCACACATGGTACCTAGCACAACGTGCCGTATTAGACGCGGGAACATTTGAAGATTACATGACCGCCCTCAAGGACGGTTGGCTCGATACACACTGGGACACCAAGCTGCGAAAGAAGGTTCTCGGTTCATGACAAGGAACGCGCCCATTCTATGAGTGGGCACTTGAACTACAAAATCAAAACGCGCTTCTATACAGAAATGCAGCACACCTCTCAGACACCCAATTACGAAACCAACTTGAGGCCAATATCTGCGATGAGCTCACTACATCTGTACTCAGAGCTGGACTCGCAGATAACCTTACGCTTAGAAAATGGATTGAAGAGGTGAAACACCTCGACGATAAACGACTAGAAGACCTGGCTTCCCACAAGAAAATTGCGGAGGAACTATATAGGTCCTCGAAATGTTCAACGTCAACCTTCCAAAACAAGTCAAGTTCATCCTCCAAAACGTTCAACTCATCCTCGCGCCTTGGTGCCTTGACAGAGACAGAATGTAACTTGCTGATCGACCACAAGGGTTGCTTCAAGTGCCGCAAGTTCTACATTTCTCACTGTTCCAAGGAGTGTACCGACGGCGCACCTGAAGCTTCGAGCTACAAGCCTCTGAACGAAGCAGACGCCCTCGCTGCCCGGCCAAAGACGACACGGAACAAGACTGTGGCGGCCGTGGCGCCAGTAGGTGCCGTTATGCCTTCTTCAGTTCTCGAAGAGAGTTCAGGTTCAGAAGATGACAAGTACGTCGCACCTTTTGAAACCGCCCACCTTATTTGGCCCTGCCTCTTGGCAGGACCTTCTTCTGAAACGTTTGAACATATCGACGCTTTGATTGACCATGGGTCACATCTAGTTCTTATTGACGAAAGCGTTGTCAACAAACTGGGTCTGCGAAGACGCAAGCTCCATGCAAACATAGAGGCTAATTCGGCTTTTCTCAGTTCTCCTTCTGTTGCATCTTGTTCTTTCTCTGAATATGTTCTTTTGTCTCCTTCCTCGATTAATCATGATTGGACTTCTCGTACGATACGCACGATCATTGCGCCTAGACTCGCAGTTCCACTCCTCCTCGGAGGACCCACACTTACCTTGACGACATAATCATTTGGTCACAAACAGTGGCCAAGCACGCCAAGAACGTGAAGCTGGTCCTTGAGGCACTACAAAAAGCTAGTCTATTCTGTTCGCCAAAGAAGACATCGTTGTTCTGCACAGAGTTGGACTTTCTAGGTCACCACATCTCGGCCGCCGGTATTGAGGCTGATGCTTCGAAGGCCAAACGCATCCTCAACTGGCCAATACCACAATGCACCAGCGACGTCAGGTCCTTCCTAGGACTGGTCCGTTACCTTGACCAATTTCTGCCACATCTTGCGGACCACACTCACGTGCTGACGCCTTTGACGACGAAAACAAATGAGCAAGATTGGCCTGGATGGAACGACGAACACCAAGAGGCATTCAACGCTATCAAAAGACTCGTCGTCAGCCGTGAATGTTTGATAACGATAGATCACGATAACATCGGAGAGAACAAGATCTTCGTAACTTGTGACGCGAGTGACTGGCGCACAGGCGCCATGCTGAGCTTTGGACCGACAGCACAGACAGCGCGACCAGTTGCCTTCGACTCGATGCAGCTGAACGGCGCTCAACTCAACTACCCCGTACACGAAAAGGAGTTGTTAGCTATCGTGCGCGCTCTCAAAAAGTGGCGCATTGAACTTCTGGGTACCCCATTCATTGTGCATACCGACCACAGAACACTCGAAAATTTCATGACTCAAAAGGAATTGTCGTGGAGACAGGCCAGGTGGCAAGAGTTCTTCGCTCAATACGACTTCAACATTCAGTACATCCGAGGGGAGGATAATTCTGTCGCTGACGCGCTATCCCGCCTGCCCCCGGACACTGAAGACATCCCCTCGTACACTGAACGCACGTTACACATGCCAGCGAACATTGGAAACAGCATGAATCCGATAGCGCTGATCTTATCCATAGCACCGGATCCTTCACTCCTCAACGACATAAAGACTGGATACACAAAAGACCCATGGTGCTTGAAACTGACGAACCTGACAGACTCCTTCCCAGGCCTGGAGCGACATGATGGACTCTTGTATATCAACAATTGGCTCGTGGTCCCACGTGTTACACATCTACAAGAGACCGTTTTCCGACTCGCACACGATGAACTAGGACACTTCGGAATCGACAAAGCTTACGGTGCAATCAGAGAGTCATTCTATTGGCCGAATATGCGACGCGACCTGGAGGAAAGCTATATACCCGGATGTCCCGAATGCGCAAGAAACAAAAGCCGTACAACAAAACCCACTGGCCCCTTGCATCCACTACCAGTGCCTGACCAACGTGGCAACTCCATCGCTATAGACTTCATCGAACTGCTGCCCACAGAAAAGGGATACGACAGGATAATGACAATCACCGACAGGTTAGGTGCTGACATACGATTGATCCCTTGTAGAATGAATATGAGTGCGAAGGAAATCGCCAGTTTGTTCTTCGACCACTGGTATTGCGAAAACGGGCTACCACTCGACATAATCTCCGACCGCGACAAGCTCTTCACCAGCAAATTTTGGAAAGCGCTTCACCAGTTGACCGGCGTGAAGCTGAAAATGTCGATGGCATACCATCCACAAACAGACGGCTCCAGCGAACGTACGAACAAGACCGTCAACCAACTACTAAGGTACTTCGTCGATCGACACCAAAATGGATGGCTAAATGCACTACCGCACGTATGGTTTAACATGATGTCAACTATTAATGTGTCCATGGGGTACTCACCTTTCCACATGCAACTAGGACGGATACCTCGCAGACTACCTCCACTAACGACCGAAGGAGTAAAACGAACACGCGAGGAATTTCCAGCTGACGTGGCGAACACATTGGAAGCTATCATGTCATTGAAGACAGACATAGCGGACGCTCATGACGCTCTAATAGCTACGAAGGTCAGTCAAGCTAACACAGCTAACTTGCACAGGGGAAAGGAACCCACATTTGATGTCGGCGATCTCGTATATCTCTCAGCGGCTCACAGACGAAGAGAATACCTCAACGGCAACAACAGAAGGGTAGCAAAATTCATGCCACGCTTCGATGGTCCCTACAGCATAGTATCAGCCAACGCTGAGTCGTCAACATATACTCTTGACTTGCCTGACCACACTAACATCTACCCTACTTTCCATGCCTCTGAGCTGAAGAAACATATTCCCAACGATGCTGAACTATATCCCTCAATAAGTTTCTTCCAATAATAAAACTTATGTTACTGTCTATTTGACCAACCAGTCTTTGGTCCATATGATTTTAGAGACTGTTGTCTCTCCCTCTGAGCTGAAGAAACATATTCCCAACGATGCTGAACTATATCCCTCAAGAGAGCTGCAACGCCCAGGACCCATCGTGACTGCTGCCGGAACGCATGAATGGGAGATCGAGAAAGTGCTGGATAGAAGAAACCGAGGGCGCGGCCACCAGTATCTCGTTCGATGGCGCGGATACGGCCCGGAGAATGACGTATGGGTTGCTGGAAGAGATCTTGAAGACACCACCGCACTACAAGACTATAGCACAAGACTTGACACGAATACTGCCGAAGAAGACACAAGAGACACACCTGAGCTCGAAGATGAGCTTCAAGACAAAGACACCTTAGAAGCTGTGAAGGAAGCGGATAGACCTATGGACACCATGGAAGATTCTTTGGAGGATGAGAGGGTGTAAGCTGGACACTTACCATCTGCTTATGAACCATGGATCACGTGTTACGTTCCCTTTATATTGTGACATTCGACGTCATATTGCTTAGACTCGGGTCTCCTACGTACCACCACTTGCTCGCCTGTATAACGTCCTAAAGAATCATAACTTCGTCCTATTAATCTCGCCCGATTCGTCTTAGTGTTACTTGCCGATCCTTGGCGGGTTTCCATGTAGATGACGTCAATGCAACGATAAATGTGAGGAAAAAGAAACACATTGTTCGTTTGAGATGATGTGATCCGATGCTGAGGGCTCGAATAAGGTTTTTAAGGTGGGTGGACACCGATGACGGTAGGACAATGACTTGCTTTAATATTATCACGAAAACATTTAGTGAAATGGTTGTGGCGGCTAGCCATTTTGACGCGCCTGCCTCGGTTGTGGTGCGCTCGTAACGTGGCTTTGACAAGGCAAAATGCCACTGTGGTGTTATATTCACGCGAAGACCAAACAGTACGCAGAAACCTCATACACTCATATCATGTACTCCTTTGACCCAATATCGCCTCTATTCGTTTCTCAATCAACAGTGTTCTACATATTGCTCAACAACAGCGCCAATATGAATGCGGAAACACTCACCCAGTGTGTCGCTATGTGAAAATCGAAATTGGAGGGGGCTCGTCGACAGCCACGCACACACTACCACCACATTCATCAGTGCTGTTACAACAGTCACTATCATGTTGGCATGGATCCCCAGTTAGGCTACAGCTTGGTTGCCTTGCTGTGACAGACAACATAGATGCTGTCAACGCAACAATATAGGTGAGGAAGAAGCACATTGTTTGTTTGAGGTGGTATGGTTGAGGTGGGTGGATGCTGGTGACGATAACAAAATGACTTGCTTTTATATTATCACGAACAGGTTTTGCAAAATGGTTATGCTTGGCAGATGATACTGCGGCAGAACCTACTATCCCTTCCGGTCATCTCGTGGGTCCTGCGGCCTGCCTCAGTCGTGATGCAATGCACCGGTGACGCGGTGATGACGAGGCAAGGAATGCCATGTCAAAGCTGCTGATAACCGGCCTACATTAATTTCTGACTCCATCCTGTATTGTTGGCAGAACTCCAGGGTATCTATGACTTGCAGAGATGTAATTCAGATCTTTTGACACAGTTTGAATTCAATAGAACATGAATATCGATGTCCCTAAAGTAAGATGGTGCATGTCAGGCTGGAGGACGCCCCTCGCATTGTTATTTCAACCAATTCCGAAATTCACCCACTCACTCAAGGTGTACCATGACGATACTCTCAATATCTTAGTTGACACATTTGAAACACTCGGCAAAATTCATACAAACCTTCGACAACACAGCATCGTAATTGGTGTAGAGGCTGAGAAGCCCACCCGCTGTCGACAAACGAAGTTGAGGTGCTCGATGAGAATGCTTTTGATTTTGACAAGTTTGATCATGTCGAACAAGGAATAGGTCACGGTGGTTTAAAATTATGAGATGCTTCAGGCATGAAGAGACAGACACGACATGGATGAAGCTTGATACAGCAGGAATGAGGCTTGACACGCTAACATTCACTGGACCACCGTCAGTGCTACTAGAGGCAAGCACGGAAGGCGACGTACTGCAGAGTAATATATCCTGGCTGTACGAGTCCATCCGCGTCCATGATTAGCACTTCACCGGGAATAAAATTGGAAAGTGTATCGAGCGAAGGGGCCTCTGATACTAGGAGGTATTTGTGCATACAGAGAGGGACCAGGAGGAACTTCAATACTGATGACGGAGCTCGCGCCAGGGTAAAGTATGTCGTATGGCGGAACAACTACATAGGTAAATCTACTCTAAACATCAATGACTTCTAGCTCGTCATATTCTATTGCGTAATATGCTGAACCTACCACTTTGTGATCAAACTTTGTGCTAAGCAAATAAATTCTATCCTTATTGACCCACACGTCTGCTAACTCTGATTCAGCAGAACCAAACTTTCTGTCCAAGATGACCTCAACATAAGGCAGGGACGTTGTCAAGCTCCAAGGAGGCCAGCCAATGCATTCGTCGACTACTGATACTGTAGACGGTTCTTTCACCACTCGTCCCAGACCCCGCCTGTTCGTCACAGCTAGCGGGCTGAAGTCCAAAATGTGTAGTAATGTATACTCCACATCACCTGAGGCTGACGTGCCGACTGACAATGCCTGCAAGACTCGATTCCCGCTAATGTGAACTTTGGATTCACCTGAGAGCCCGAAAACACGAGTATTTGAAGGACCCCAGCGTTCCCACGGTACTGGCATTGCTGCTGCTATTCCTTCAAGGTTGAAGAACATCCTTGTGGAAATGACGAAGGTCCTATTTGCTGCCGTAGTAATGCATAGCAGCTGGTTTATGGGATCTGAAGTGTACATTGCTTGTTGGGCTTGTAGCTGTGGGGAGCTATCAATATGGTCCATCAGAAGGAAGCACTGGATATTCAGATATAGGCCGGGCATTATGAAGCACGCCAGCAATTGTGGCGTCTGGGACATATCCTTGATTGAATAGAGCTTCAACTCGTCGGTGACAACGAGCAACCTATTGTTTCCGAGAAAGCAAAAATCAATCGAGTTTGGTAAGTAATTCGTGTCACTGAGGATGCTCTAGATGGCGAATCAGCACTCAGCCGTCGAGTCTTTCAAACGTTTTCTGGCTATGGCTCACATTAGATGTCGTTGAGTGTTGCCAGTCCCAAATATGCAGCTGCCACATCTCCTCGAATGGATACACAAATGAGCGCCGCAGAGCAATATGCCTCCCAAATCCCTTGAGCTTGGCACTTTCTGCAACAAAGTGTTCGTCCTTGGATGCAAGCAGTATCGACGAAAACAATGTCCATCCAGCAGCTTGGGGGTGAACACCATCCCTATCCAGGACTCTAAGGCTGATGCAGAGTGTCTCGTAGTTCAAGTCGAATATATTGTCAGAATACGCGATGGCGATCAGGTTTTGTGCTGGATCCACAAATATATCGAGGTTGCGTGAGTCAGGAACTGAAAATAATGTTCCTGGAGACCAGTTGCGCTTGACTGTTTTTTGTGAGGGCTTTGGAAGTATCGGAACGATTGCGGCCATGTCCTCTTCTTTATCCCACAAGTAGATATGCCCATCTGCGACGAACTTTTCGTCAGAGTACATGTTCTTTGGTAGAGAGACTGTTTTGAAAGAGTTAGGGTCGACTTTGAACCATGCATGAGCTTTGTCCCTCAAGAGTTGTAGGTGCTTGGAAACAGGGATGCTCTCATTGTCCGAATTGGGAACATGGAGCAACCATTGGCCACTGAGTTCGACGATGTACTGAAGCTCGGAAGAGGACATGTACATTTGGCAAAGGACCTTACATACCTGCAAGACGATCATCGTAAGTATAAAAGTCCATATAGGACGACAATAGCATGACCAAAATCATAAATTGGGCTCACGGATGTACAACAAAGGATATCTCGGCAAGAAAGAAAGCTCAAAATGTTGAGCTGTAGTTCTCTAGGAAGAGACAGAAACCCTGGTTTCATCTCGTGGCTCATTCTCTTAACAGATCAGAGTAGTGCAAAACAAAAAGTTGGACAAAGGACGCGCGCCAGCCTCGAGGCAATGTTTGCTGCTATGTTGACTTCAGGCACTAAGCATTAAGCATTGGGTGGGCGCTACGGGAAATGCAAGGAAGAATAAATCGAAAATTTGTTGATCGGGCTATATATAGCCACATATACTCGAATACCGTACCAATCGACTGGACATGAGCCCAAAGTTGAAAATTAAAAAAAGACCAGCACCTGCTTCCATGCGAGGAAGAGAGGGACATGGTGCTTCCCACGACATCAGACGCTTGACTTCATATTTAGTACCTATTAGGGACTTCGTCTTACCCAACTCTTCAAAGTTTCAACGTTCAACTTTCACTTAGCACCTGGCAAAAACAACTGTGATGCAAGGCGTTGCGACACAGTCCTCGCTGGACGACGCCAGGAAGGCCTGTGCCAAATGCCGCGTAAGCGGGCACTAGAAGTAGATGAGTGAGTGGCGAGGGTAGAAGAATAGAGCAGTCGAGACTCGATATGCTTGAAGGGGGATACTTTGCCATCTGGAGACTGGGGAAAAACGGCCCAACCAAGTGTCATGGTAAGGCGCGCCCAATATTATGTTCCTTGATGAAAGGTCGTCTTTCGTATTGCTTTTTGCTTTGTGCTTCCTAGACGCTCGTCCATGTCCTCATTTCTGGCATGTGTTTTTGAAGTTTTGCATGTCCTTCCACGCCTCAAGTCTCGATATCCTTACACCCATCATTCTCATGGTGCTAGCTCATTGTTACTATACACAATGAACCACGTTCCCTTCCATTGACCTACTTCTCTCAACATTCAAACTGTGTTGAGGGCAACTGAAGCCTGACGACCCAAACTACTTCAACTGCTGCCGCCGCAATCTTCAGTTTTCTCAGTTCACTTTGGGAGGCGCCACACTCTTGTCTATTGATTTCGCTCGACCCCATCTCAGACAACTCGCCGAAGATCGCTCCATGCCCTCAAAAATCTGTCATATCGTTCATTTAAACTACCCCAAACTTGAATGCAATCATACTATGTATATAATATAATAGACAATGGATTAAATATATACTCCATATCGTACTCAACAGATATTTCTGCAAATCGATTTACAGGGACGAGATTATCACAATCAAGAGCTACATACAAGGATCGAATTAATTAACTGCGAGGAACGGAAAATACTGAAGACTCACTCCTTGTAGCAGTGCTGCCAGCGTGAGCCATGTGCCATGCAGCTCAAGTCAAGCTCAACATCACCTCCGAGTCTGGGTATCAATAATGCAGTCTGAGGATTATATCTAAATGTTTCTCGAGAAGCGGGTGGTACCCAGAATAAGAGCCGATGATTCGGTCCCATCATCCATCCTTCTCCCTCCAGGAAATTGAATGTCGACCTGCAGTCATTAGGGAGGGCACCTGCGAGTAGCTCAGCAGTGTCACACAATGCACGTGTCGAGTGTGATGAGAAGGAAATGAAGTGATCGTTTGCGGTGATGATCTCAGATCTGATACAGCCTCCATCTAAGGGGACTCTTTTTCATTGCCGTTTACGTTCAGAAATGAGCTTTCTTAATATAGATCACTTGTGTCATCTTGCATTCATGGATCACGTTGCACATACTGCAGTCACTTTACCTTGTATAATACATACAGCCAAGGTTGAAAGTACCCTGTTCTGAACAGGCCAGCTGATGTGGGCCCATCAATATATTGTTATGTTAAATACAGGTGGGCCCATGTCAAGGGTATATGTGATACCAACAGTGGGCCCATAGTGTGTGGTATAGTAGATAAGTGTACACTTTCCTATTGCCTTTGGTAGGTATTATATGGTAGGTAGGGTATGAAATATATATCTGATATGAACAGGTGGGCCCATACATCAGGAAAAACCCCCTTTCTGTATTGGGGACAATTAGAGCCGATTGTATCAAACTTGGAAAATCCTTTGCCATTTTCTCAAATGTGTGCCAAAAAGACCCAAATATTCGACAGTCCAAGCCAATGTGTGCAACGAAAAAAAGAATTCAAATGCATCAGAGTAAATTTTGAGATACAGAATACCATATCATTATACTAATTTACGAATGCCATGCGCAGCAAGCAGCACTTCCAATAGATGAGCTTTTCTTGCCTCCTCGCACTGTTTGATTTCTGCATCCCAACGATCTCCTACAAGTCGATAGATATAGTTTTGAGACACCGTCAGAGGGGCCGGAGTCTGACGGTAGGGGGGGACGGGAGTTTCAGGGATTTCGAGTGGGGGAGTTGCCAATATCCCCAACTCCGGAATTGGAATCCTGCGGGTCAGTGGTTTCTTAGACCTTGTACTTATAGTGAGTAACTGCCGACAATCAACGGACTCGGACTTACTTTTTGACGGGCGACTTCTTAATGGGTGAGTTCCCATCAACGCTAAACCCAAATGAAAGCGAGCGTGGGCTAAACAGTCATCAGCTTTACATCCAAGAAGCAATCATTACAGCATCCAAACAACCCACCGCTTCCCCGGTTTTAAATTCTCTTTGTCAGATTCCTGCAACAATGTAAGTCAAAGTTTTTGTAGTACAGACATTAGCATCTGCGCACCATAATAATAAGACACAAGTTGATAGATAGCAGTGCACGATCAAAACAAGAACGAATCGATGACTCGGTGTTGTGAAATTTTCGTCCATCAATGTGACCAAACCCGTGAGAATAAACCTGTCAGTCCCATCACGGTGCGTCTAAAACAAAGTTACATATGCATCTCTATCTGTAAAGGTATTAACGAAAAATGTGCTACACCTATCTAATACATTGCTTGTTGTCCATTCCCGAGGAGCCACAGGTCCAAACTTCGGCATCAAGTGGATAGAACGTCGGATATTGCGGACAGGCACGATGCTCGCCTGCCTCTTACCATCACGAAAAGCCCGCGAAACTTTATACATGCCATGGTTGGCCTGTGGTCTGTTGGCAAATGGCGTGAACCATTCGACATATGCGAGGTGATCAGGGACGTTTAAGTTGCGAAACATTGCTATTTTTGCTTTCGCCGAAAGGGAAAACACAACCCGGACCTGTGCTACACAGTATCCTAATGGCGGGTTGACTTGTTAGTACAATTCCACTGAAAAACGGCCCATACCTACCTTCCACACCCAAAGGTCCACCAATACCCAAATTCACAAGTGCCGTGTCAAACCTAGCAGGCACGTTCCTATGGTGGCGGTCGTGTCTGGCTGGTCGAGCATCAATCGAGTCGACAGTAAGGTTGTTCGGTGTTCCGTCATCATTGATGATGTTGTAACGGATTTTATGAAACACGGCCACAGATTGAAAAGGGAGTATCACATCCACGGCCATGTCCTCGAGCTGTCGTGCAGTCAGATCCGGCTCTGTGACCTGCACTACAAAACGTGCGAGGGCTGCACGGAAATGCACTGCACCATACTCGGCTGCAAGTGCCGAGAAAGTCACTCGTTTAGCAGAGGGGTGCTTTGCGACTTTGTATTGTCGGGAATACAGAAGATCAACGTGTGGCGGGGAATAACTGAATGATTGGTGCTGATTTGAGGAAGCTAAGGAACGACGCCACTGAATGAATTGATGGTGCCAAAGAATCTTTTCTCGTCGCTCGAGCCAAAGGGTCATCTGCATATACTCATCTTTGTGGTTTGTTGCGCAGTAGGCATCCTTTGCGAGGTCGATATGAAGCCATTCGGTATACTCGATATTGTAGTTGTCGGTCGTTCCAAAGTGTTGAATCATTGAAACATAGTGTCGAAAGGAGTGGAGCTTAGGCAAATTGAACGACGAACGGATACCAAGATCCACGAATATTGACTTGTTGTCATGAAAGCGATTGAGCGCATCGTCCAGAAGATCCAAGGTTCGTTGTGAGTGACAAGGATAGCGTGAAAGATACAGGAAGTCAAGCAGGCCTCTTACAGCACGGACCAGTTGGAGTGGTGATGCGCCATTTGGCAGGCCAATATCAATGATTATTCCCAGCAGGAACCGGCAAATTTGTTCGTGCTCCGTGCCACTAACTCGCGAGAGAATGGATATACCTTTCATGAAGACTCGCACATTGTGGTTAGGAGGCAAGCGTTTGCATCGCGCATCAATTTCTGCATCGCTGAATGCAGATTTGATCCATGAGATCAGGTGCTTGACGAGTCCTTGGTACAGTTGATGCAAGATGTCGGGAGTGATGGCACGAAATATGTTACAATGTGGTAGGTCTTCCCAGAAAGGATGATAGAGGGGTTTGATTCCTGCACTGCGACAGGCCTTAGTAAACTTGTAAGGGTCTTCATCGACAAGAGCGAGTGCATCAAGAATGTCACCCAGATCGCGGGTGTGAAAAGGCAAATCCTTACTGCCAAGTTCGTCTGATGGAATATCACACTTCGGACATTCACCAGTCTTGATGCCTGTGACAAGGAGCTGTTCAGGGTAATCTCCAATGTAACAGGCAACCAAAGGATGCCCACGCCGTAACGCACTGTCTCCGCTCATGATTGCCATCCCATTGATACCTGGCTCTACCAGTGGCTCAACAACATGGCGCATGCAGGCATGGAATAGATTCGCGAGACTTCGGCATCTCGCTGATTTGTTGGTAATATGTTCTAACTTGGTGGTGGGCAGATAGGCGAGGTGTATCTGAGCACTGCGAGAGGGACGTCGACGGATCTCCTTGGGCAAGTTTCCAATAGTCATGTACAAGGGGTAGGCAGCTTTATTCCGAAACATCGTTACTTGCATTTTGTCAGATGACAACAAGATTGGTATAACGGTGGCGCCCGGTTTCTCTTTCTCAAGGTGCTTCTATTAATAAACTCCGAGTTAGCGGTAAGTAAACAAGGCTAACTTAGTCCGTTACCTGTGTATTCCACCACCATTTACCAGTATGTAGATCGTGGTACAGCCTTTGCGTCTCGTCTTGATCTGTATAGTGCCGCTCTGGGACAAATACAAGGTAAGGTGCAAACTCTGGGTCTTTATAAAGCGCTTTGACACAGTCGATGATATCTTGACAGTACACATCGAAAGCTTCACCCGCCACCAAAATCTCCTTGTGCTGGAAGCGAGGCCGGCGTGCAGGTATCTTTGTATCAATTATTTTGTTTAGTTTGCGGGAGTTCTTGTATGACAACCCTAGCTTCTCGCACACCTGGCTACAGTGAGTATCCCTCTCGAACTAAATATCATTCCATAGTTATACTCACTCCTTCGATTTCAAGAAGGTCCGAGAATGATGTAGAACCAGGGCCTTGTGTCTTGGCCCAGTGCGCAACCTCATAGTCGATTTGAGATGTAAAAGGTGCCCAAATTCCATCCTCCTCGCCAGAGGACACCTGCTGATGATAGTGACGGTAGCCACTCTGATGACATCCTTCATCTGGGTCCGAGTCTGAATCCTCCAAGTCCTGGGTAGCTCCTGCATTGTGAAGAGGGAACTTAACAATATGTGGTCGTTAAAATAGTGGGGCTTCTGCATCGTGCCGGCGAGCACGATTTTGATCAGTGCCGTGAGTGCCGGAAGATGTGTCTGTGATGTGCGTGCTATCTTCCTCCATAGGCAAATCCTGATCTTCGATGGTCTGCTCTGCAACAGGAGGCTCCCAGTCTCGTTCTTGCTCAGCTACAGCTCCTTCAGCCTCCATATCCTCTTCCTCTGATTCCAAACCATCACCTTCAGCGTCTTCTTCAGCATCATCCTCAGGCCATTCCAGGTCCTCGGCTGCAGTGTTAAAGTAGTCGCCCTCAAATATATTAGGAGGTGGGTTTTCGAAGTTGTCTAATTCATGCTCATAGACTGCGCCATCAGATCGGTGTTGTACTTCGGATACCTTTGCAGTCGTTGGACTCGGAGGATGTGACTCGAAATGTAGATTTGGTGCCGAAGGTACGTAGTTTTGCATCTGCTCGTATATGATGATGCAAGCAGGATTCTGAGATTGAGCTAGGTGGCGAGAATAACCATTTTTAGTGAAGAGATGCTCACATCCATCGCAAGTAGGCATGATAGTAGATTGGCCTATGAAACTTTGGAACCGGATTGACTTGGTGAGTTTGTGTTAACGGCGTCTGCCGGATTTGTGACTTTTTTTTTTTTTTTTGCAAATCGATTCGATCGATCAGTTCTCTTCCTCTACTCTACTGTGATGGCGAAAACCAAAGGACCCACTCCCAATGAGAAAGCTGCAGCCAACTTGCAAAAAGCTGCAGCTCCGAGTCCTGCAACATCGGATGGCCGGCCTGTACGACAGGCCAAATCTACTGCCTACAAGAATCAAGGTCCGTTGTTCGTTGTGCCTTGCAATCATTACTGTTGGTGTGCGCTGACCCACTTATTTAGTTTGGATGGCAGAAAAGAGTACTAATCGGAAACGTGCTGCATCCAACAATGCCGAATCAGAACACATCAAGATGCCTCGAATCGTGACATCTGACGCGAAGTCCAACACCAAGGTCGTGTCTGCGTCTGAACTGTTCGACTCAGACAACGACATTGCTGCATTAAGTGGCGACTCCAACAAGCATGGCACCGGTGACGACTCGGACGACAATTTAGATGCATCCGATGATGATCTCAAATCCCTCAAGGCGGACAAAAAGAAACTGAAAGAAGTACTGGATCTTGAAATAAGTTTTTCATTATGGTTGGAAGTGTCTGCTCTGCTGATTTCATCTCATGTCAAGCGACCTCAATTTGTAAATCGTGCACGGTCCAAGAGCACTGGCTCTGAATTGTGAGGTTCTCATCTTAGTAAGGGCACAAGTGACACTGATGACGACTCGGATGAGCCTCGCACAACTCGCGCAGCTGTCTCTGATAGAGACGATGACATGAAGGCCACGCAAAAGACTCACTACCGCACACCGGCACCAGACAAGTCAAAAAAAACGATTAAACATAAGGTATTGTCCTATTCTTACTCTGTTTGCTTATTGTATGTACTAAGGTAGGTTGCAGAACACTTTGACCGAAGGAGTTCGAAGCAAACGCCAGGAGAAACAAGAGCAGGAGGGGAGTTCATGTTTTTTTGTTTCTTTTCAGACGGCGCTGACTGCTAGTTTCATGGTTGATAGAAACCGACTTGGCGGGATAGTACTGAAGACATGAGTGATACACTTGTGACTGCCTCAAATCCGAAACTTGTGCGAACGCGCGAGGAGGATTGGCCTCTGAGCAGCTGGATTATTTATAGTACATCAGGCAAGGTTAACCTAACAGATCAGCAGGCCCATATGCAGAACATGCTGCGCGCTTCTATCACCCGCATCCTTGAGTACCTCGTGTTCGAAAATGCGTATCCTGACTTGGAGCATCGGCGGAAGATTACGGGAGACATTTTGCTCGCGTGCACCGACGATTGGCTTCAGTGGTACGTCTTCGAACTGACACTTAATGCTTCACATTCTAACAACTTTTCATAAGCCCGAAGGTCATATCAGCCATTTCCGGAACAATGTGCGAAAAGTGGCTCAAGCGCATGTAGCGAGTCACTACGGTCTCATCAAAGGCGCTGACATGAAGGTTGCTGACCTCTTGAAAAAAAATATGTTCATGTATCCTGTCAACAGTAAGGTATGTGTGCTAATTGATTGATTCATACTATCAACTGATGTGTGTAGGACGAACCGATTCGAAGCAAGTCGTACCAGGCACCTGCCATCCTGGACACCATAGCGGAGGCCTTTTTTGTTGACGATGCGAGCGTTGGAGTTAAATTTCACGAGAAATTGGTGTCGACTGTCGAGGATCGTCTGGACGAGAGGGAGCTTCCAGTTGCTATGGTTGCTCTCGCAGGAACAGCAGTGAGTTCGATTTAGGACTCCCTGAGCGAGTTACTTATTGCTGTCTAGGTGCGCAGCGTCATCATGCAATATTCATCCGAAAAATACGACCGTGATTTTAATTGTGAATTATATAGCGGGATCTACAAAACACTCGTAGGTATCCTGAATGGTATCTTTGACACTAGTGAGCGCAAGTACCATGTACTGATGCATTCTGTCTATAAAACTGTCTAGTATGTGCTCGTTCAATTGATTTTCTCGTTATTTTACTGATCGTGTGCGATCTCGAGACGGACGAGGCATTGATGTTCCTTGACATTGATGCAATGCCAGAGTCGGAGGAGTAGTAGGTGATGAGCGCTAGTAGTAAAATTGACTAGGATTCACCTGAATTTGATTGTTTTTGCGATGTTTGAATTGGATCTATTGTCTAATTTACGCTTTGGTATTGGTAGTAATTAGGGTGAATTGTCTACAATTGGGAGGGGGATTAAAAAAATTAGTCATATCAATGGAATGTATCGAATCCTCGACAATCCGCGAGAATTTGGTGATATTGTGTCAAATTAGGAATCACCGATTTCCCTGATGTAAATGTATTACTGTGTTAAATACAGGTGGGCCAATGGAAGTGTTTAGCTGATACAAACAGTGGGCCCATAGTACTGTGTAGTGTAGTATACCAGTGCAGACTGTTCTATTGACTTTGGTAGGTAGTGTATAAAGTATGTGCCTGATACGAACAAGCGGGCCGAGTGGGTGGTGGTACTGATATACACAGATAGGGCGAGAGTCTAAGTATATAGAACAATCATGGACATGGGTCGGTCAATGGGTCGGTGTTCACCGAACAGCTCCCACAATACACCTGGCAGAACTGCCTCGGTCAAAAGGCACTCGGTCAAATATCATGGATGAGCCAGTTGGTCAATATGTAGGTATTTATGGACGAGCATGCATGATGGACTTGTGAAATTAGTCGGTCAATAGGTTTTTTATGGACTAGCTGCTATTATGTGTTTGCTAGAAACACCTCGGTCGGTCAAGCTAATCTCGGTCATATATAATGTACGATAAATCGGCAGAAACTGCAATGGTTGTGCCAATATCATGACAAAATTATATAGAACAATCGATTGGGCACATGCAGTATAATTTTATTGTGCCAAATCAATAAGACCAATATAATTTATGCTGACAGGCCAGGAGGCAAGAAGTATTCATAAATCAAATCTGAACAGACAGAAGTATACTCTGCCACGGGCACTGAAACACATCAAGATCAACTGGGCTGACATTTAAATGACACAGGAGTCAATGTACAATAGGATTCACATCAGAACTATTCAATTCAAAACCAAGTGATATGTAGATGTAATTCGCCGACGGACAAGTGATCTACAGTACAACTATGTAATCAACTGAGTGATCAGGGGGGGGAGTGTGCGGCCGAAGGAAAATGTGATCCACCTGGAGCAGGAGCTGACGAGGGACCGGCATGTGCTGACGCCGAAGACAAATTTCCAGAGATGGAAGTGCTGCCCTGCATGTCAGGACAACCGAAAGAGCGGGAAGCTGAGGTTTGACCGACGCCAACAGAAAGGAGGATAGGAGCAATGGAAGGACCAAACACGCCGTTCAAGTACCTCATGCCGAATGCGGTGGCAGTGGAATCATTGCCATGGCTCACCATCGGTGGTGGGAACGATGGATTGGCAAGGACCCGCTCCTGCCGAAGCTTCTCAACAAGACCGACAAGTCCATTCACCAATGTCACGGTGGTGCCGACATCAAGCTGCACGGCGGAAAGCTCGGCACGCATCGAGGAGATGCGAGCGTCAAAATCGTGCTCCATCACATTCACCCTAGCAAGGGCATTGTCGTCGGCCGTTTGCATGGCATTGACTTGAGCCGTTAGGGCGAGCACACGTTCGAGGATGGTAGGTGCTGGCGGCGCCGAAGGAAGGGAAACAGCATCGGCGACACGAGTTGGTGGGACATGAGGGACGGGCAAATCGTCAGTGTTCTCCAGCCAATGGTCGTGGGGGAAGTCGTCCGCAGAAGCAATGGCTCCAGGCTGGTCAACCATGATTTGATCAGCGGCCTCAGCCGACATCTCAGTAGGAATGTCAGTGTGCTGCTCGGCGTCGGTAACAAGATCCATATCGGCATCATCGTGGCTGGCGACAGACACCTCTGCGAAGGTGAGTTAGAGCGTGTCATGGCAAAAAAAACAAAATTACCTACCGGGATCCTCAACAGAATCCTCAGATTCCACCATGGGAGTCGGTGGACGTGCGCGCAAGGTTGCTCTGGTGGTCCTGGATTGGGCCTTGGACTTGGAGGCCGGTGCGGCCTTTGGCCGAGGATGTGACTTTGGAGCCCGCATTGTTGCAGGGCCGCGGGTATCGACCGACATCGGTCGCTCACACCGTACCTTCATAAAATGGCACTTGGCGCAGGACTTGATGGCCTGCCCCTTCCTGCCGACCACAACAAGGCAAGATTCCCCGATGCATCTGTCGCATGGTGGAGTGTACTGTGAACAAGTTAGTACTCTGTCACCGAAATCAACTTGCCTCACTGACCTCCTCCTCATCATTGGCCCTCAGTGGCCGGCGCCCTCTGATAGGCCCAGCGATGTCAACAGCCTTTTCCTTTCCTTTGCCCTTTTGCTGGGCTCGGCCAATCTTTGGTTCGGCGGCCGGCTGAAGAGTCTTGAGGTCGACAGATTGACAGGATGAGGTAAATCTCACCTGCTTGACGTGTTTCGTCGTACCCTGCAAAGTCCTCAGTGATGATATAGACACTGGCATTACTGCCATGCTTACCTGTGATTTGACCGGCACTACACCGGAAGATTCAGCAACCTTGGCCCGCTAATCTCATGTAAGTGGTTAGTTGAAAATGGTCAAAGGAAAACATACCTTGACTATGATGGTGCCTGTTGGCCGCCTGTCCTCATCCTCGGTGTCGGAGATGATAGCCTTTGACAGATGTTTCAACACCTTTTGCTTCTTCCTGCCCGACTTGACGTCAGGGCTGTCTTCTCTAATTCTACGAGCCCCCCGGTCAGACCGTTTGCCCTTGTCAGTAATGGTGCTAGGAACAACGGGCTGTTGAGAATGACCAATGCGAGGGAGTGAGGCGATCGGCGGAACAGACAGCCTTGTGGGGGCTGGTTCTGGTGCCGGTGCCGGTGCAACTGCAGGTTCCAGATCAGGTGCCGGATTAGGCACATGTGCAGGTGCATGCGCCGGTGCAGGCGCAGGCACCGGTGCAGCAGCTGTGTGTTCTGTGATGGTATTAGCGCACCCATTTGAAATGAAAAGAATGCCGACTCACGATATCCAGCAGTCTTTGGGAAGAACGGATGTGACTCCATACGATAATCGTTATGGCACACACGATCCCATTGGGGGACAAGACCTTGATTCATGGTCGCCCGGATTTCAGCGGCTGCAGAAAGGAGGAACAGCGAGATGACCGAGCACGTCCTGCCATGCTGCTGCAGCGCTTGAGACTGTGCATGGTGAGTAGGTACATAATAATGAGAGTGAAAAAAGACACACCAGCTGCCGCGCTATCTCATGCGCCTGATCCATCACTTCCCGGCCATCAGCTGCCCAGTGTGTGATTCGGCTAAGCGAATCGCGCAGAGATTTGTCGGCAAGCGCCAAAGCAAGATCGGATTCGTGTTGTGACGGCATGGTTCAGAATTGACGCGAGGTGACGGCGACGATGTTGAATGTGAGTGAGGAATGAGAAAATGCGACAAAGGGCACCACATTGTAAGACCGCCAGAAATGGCCGAAGTACGGAAATGGCCGAAGTGCGGCAGCAACGTTCGGACTTCTTCATTGTTTACCAACTGCAGAGTGTAAGTTCCCAAAGACCTCTATGGGTCCCCACGAGAATTTGGTTGACAATGCTCGAAGGCTACAGGACGACCACATCAAAACCAACTGCAATTTTTTCGTCACTTGGGACCAGTGGGTGCCACCAAAGTTGTGCACAACTCCCTCCCCTCAAAACGGCCCGAAACACCATCAAACTCACATTAGCCCTGAGCAATTGAATATATCCAGGCGATATGAACTAACAAACTATTTACTTTCAACTATGCCATCCTGGCAGACACAAACCGAAGCACTTCCCACCCAACATGCTGGTACTGAAAGTAAGTTTCATGTTAAATTGATCTTTAGTGGTTGTTGACAACGTTAGTATTTGACATGTGCTGGAATTTCGAGGATGATCCAATGCCGACGGTGGAAAGACCGAATAAAACTCCATCAGCTGAACCGCACATGCGAAGCCAAGGTAACTCGAGTCCCTTTAGAATATTTTAGACATCTAACGAAGTGATTAGCGTTTGACATGTGTTGGGACACTGAGGTAACTCCGGCGCCGACCGATCCGGCGGAAGCGGCCATACCACTGAAAGCAGGTGAATATGATCTATGTTGGAATGGCGAGGAAGGTCTACCGACGATCGATTTGGCGCCGATCCTCCAGCCGGACACCGGAGAAAATGAGACCATCGATGTTACGGACACCAGAAAGAATAAGACCATGGATATCACAATACCCGGCGGAGCCGGTCAATACGATATGTGTTGGAATGACTGTGCATCTGCAGAAGCAGTGGGATATATAGGTGAGCATTGGTTATTAGCACTGACGACTGTGACTAAATATTACTTAGGCGATTTTGACATGTGCTGGGGCGTTTCACCAATGGCAGGAGATGATCACGTTGAAAGTGGTTTGATTGCTGCACCGGTGATTGACTTGGTCAACGCAGGTGGGTTCAAATGGTTTCTGAATGTAAGTCACAGACACTGACAATCAAATCCAACAGCGGACACTCAGGCATCATATGACATGTGTTTTGAAAATATATCGCCGACCACATCTCCAGCACCGAGTGATGGCTCGCCAAGTCAGACAGTCGAGGCAGGCGAAGAATTGCTGCGCCGAGCCAATTTGAGGCTGGAAAATATTGATGCTGCGATGAGTAGGTCTATGTGTCTTCTCATCATCGAACTCATGTCAAGGATCGCCATGTTACAGGAGATGACCGAGGGCAACATTGCAGAGATCTCTTGGATGCCAACCAGGGTTTGATTTCTGATTACCAGGATGCCCGTAACCAATTTGTGACAGCCAGCGCTGATGTCGCGAAAATTGAACATCTGATGAACATGCACCGCGAGATTGATGATCCCCTGCATATATTGCTACTAGCAATGAGGAAAATGGGCCGGGGACAGTCTCCAATTCAGTAGTGTAGAAGATTGAGTGGAGATAACAATGTATATATCATGTGTTTAAATACCATCTAAATACCAAACTCGTTGAAGACCGAGGAGAATGGAACAAGCCACATGACATGTGAGACCGCTGACAACTACACATAGTCGGCATATCTCTTGGGCTTTTGTCGAATTTGGGCGCCAAGCCTGTTGTCAATCTTACTCCTTGTACTCCTGGCTGGTGCATCAGAGAGCGAGCAAGCCGCCGATCTGGTAGCCTTGGTCTTTTTGGGCGACCGGTCATTCACCGCCGGTGACCTGTCTCTGGCGGCAAGTGATTTCTTCGGCAACCAGTCATTTACCGCGGGCGAGGGCAACCGGTCATTCACCGCCGGTGACCTGTCTCTGGTGGCAAATGATTTCTTCGGCAACCCGTCATTTACCGCGGGCGATATATTCCTAGTTGCCTTGGTCTTCTTGGTCGACTAGTCATTTGCCGCTGGTGTTGCCAGAAGATGTTCCATACCCCGACGAGTTGAATGTGGGCCGAAGCTACGAATGTGCTGGCCACGATGATGAGCACCACTTGCGTCATAGCCAGCTTTGGGTGCAGTGTTGCCACCACTTTCATCGGCTGATCCCTCGGTCACCTGTTCGATGAGCATGCCGGTCCTGCCTGCAGTAGTGGCTTGTCTGTTATGAGTAACTTTCCTGACCAACTCTACCACTGGTCGGCCCATTTGTGCGAAGTCTGTTGGCAGTGAGATGATGGCAGGCTCAATTGTAGCTCTCTTACGCAAGCTCTTCGGTCGTGGTCTGTCATCTTACTCTGACTCGCGCCCCACCTGGTCACTGTGTGTGGTAATTGCATCTTTCTCCACACGGTCGGAGGCATCGGTGTTGTTAGAGTCTTCATCGGCAGAACTGATATGAGCCCGTTTGATGAACCTCGGCGGCCTTTTTGGAAGTCTGGCCGATGACTTTGCAGTTGGCCTGGGCCATAAGTCCTCATCATCAGCATCACCATCAGACCCATCAGACCCTTCGCCGACTGGTGAATGCATCTTGCCCTTGTCGTCAATCCACACTTTGAACTTTAACGTTAGTCCAACCTGGTGGTCTTGTCGGTCCAACCAACATTCCAACAAGGCATTGGCTTCATTCCGTTGCATTTTGGATGGGTCTGTGATCTTGATATCATTTGGCAGGTATGTGCTGGAGATGAACCGTGACTGCCCCTTCATTATGTCACTCCATGGCACTGGGACCTTCCGTTTTCCGCAACATATTCCTATGGCGGCGGGTGTCAGATAATGGCACAGGTCTTCTATCATACGGCTTACTGTAATGAATGGTGAGGAATGACCGAATCATTGCCTTCTTGACTTCAAGCGAGACACCCTTAATATCAGGCAATATCGGCAAATCCATACGGTCCAGGTCGAACTCGTAATGAGGCTTGGGGACTCGGCGAGTGCCTCCCAACAGTGTGCCGTCCTGGTCTTGGTGGAGGCAACATGAATTATATGAAGCGCCTCTCAGATGGTCTTGAGACTTACCGAATTCATCACCGATAAAATCTTCCCATGCCGGTAAGATGACCTGCCAGTCCTTGCATTTCATGAAGCTGGATCCTCTTCCGAGGTGTTCATTGAAGTCAAACCTGCCAAACCATGTAAGCACAATGACCGACCAACCGAGCATATCAACTTGCCCAGATGTAAGCAGGGCGCCCTTCTCGTCTTTCCAGGATCCCAATACAAAGAGTCTCATACCGGCCTGAGTAAACATCTCTTTGGCGAAGTGCTTGATCATTTTTTCGCCCTTCTTCTTAGCTGTCTTGGCCTGGACTACAGGGTCAGGCGCTTGATTTGTCCACTGGTTGGCCTTTGCCCGGGCTTCCTCCAACTCATCATCGTTGAGCCCTTTCATGATTGCCGTCATGGTAGGTTGATATCTTCTGAGGACTTCTTTCTGCTCAGGCTTCTGCCCAGTCTCCTCCTCGATTTCTTCACATATTTGCTGAAGAATGTTGGCCTTCCACTCCTCTTCGATGACTCGGCGGGCTGTCCATTTCTTTTGCAGCTTCATCGGCACTTTGGCATTAACCTTGGGTTTCTTGTGATTGTAGAACCACTGCCTGTATCTCTGTGCATGATGACTGTAATGCAGCATGACCCGAGATCAAAGCCGAAAATCTTACCTCTTTTCGTTGCTTCAAGAGCTCTTTGTCCATCTTTGGAGCAAAAAGTTTTGCCTCTCTGGTGGCCGCTTTGAAAATCTGTCATTGCTCAGTTCCACTTGCCTTCTCCCAGTCCTCAACATGGGACTGCAGTGTGGTTGTCTCTTGGTCGTTCAACCGAGGCTGATCACCGGTGATTATCTTTGTCCGAGGCATATCACAGTAGGTAGCTTGGAGTAAAGAACCTGGAAATGTACGTGTAGGAGAGCGTTGATGTGGTTGATGGAATGAAAAATGGAAGGAAGCTCATGTGAGTTATGATTCACATAAGTGACACACCCATGTCATAAGTGAACGTAAGGGCTAGATTGTGCCAAATAGTGTGAGCCCTATCACTACAAGACTTATTGAGTGGTGTAGATGCATAGGTGGGTGGGTGGCATGAAATTGGAGGATCTGAAGTGCTCTTGACATATCATATACACAAATCACTATCGGCCATTGGAATTGCGCCGTGAATATCCATGCCAATGATTACCGAGAGATCAAAGTGACTATTACATACTAGGCATTGCATTTGGCAGTTGAATGTAAGCACTAAACCGTCCCAAAGTCTAAGCATCTCATTCCAAACAACACATCCTGACAAATGCAGCACTACTTCCGTCCATGGTCAAGTCAAAGCCAAAGGCCTGGAGTCCTCCAAAGACATCCTCTTTGGTTCAATAGGAGAACAAACAAACATCTAGAGGAGATATGGGACGATTTGTCAAAGCTCGACGTTACAACAAAACAACATCGGTTCATTCATCCCCCAGAAAATCGCCTACAAAGGACCGATCTACCAGAGCACTTCATGAGGAGGGCGACCATGAACACTACGACCTAGGTGAATGTAACTTGAAGCCTTTTCGTCTTCGCAAGTCCATGGCAAGCTCACCATTCACTTGCCTTGTCTCATGTGCTGACACCAAATATCAAGAGTCAAAATGACTATCTGCGCGAGTGGCAGTACAAGACCGAGGACTACTTAGACTTGCTCCTTCAGCGAGAGGGTCCACCTTCCAACAGGATGTGCTCTGTCTGTCCAAAGGATGGAGTCTACAGATGTCATGGCTGCATGGGTGAACCGCTCTTCTGTACCCATTGCTGTCGGACGTTTCACAGCCGCATGCCTTTCCATCGGATCAGTCAATGGACTGGGGGATTCTTTGAAGACACTTCCTTGACCAAGATTGGGTTTGAAGTCCACCTTGGCCATGCAGGCGAGCCTTGCCCCAGACTGACCGATGAGTAGTGCGACACAGATGATGAAGGAGACCAATTCACAGACGGCCCATGGATACCATTGGTTAATGATCCTCGGATGACTATGGTGGTGGATACGTCCGGGCTCCACTCCATGATGATCAGATTCTGTCAGTGCGCCGGTGCACTGAGCCCGGACATGCAACTATTTGAAACCGGCCTCTTCCCTGCATCTTTTACTTCGCCGAAGACAGCATTTACATTTGCGGTGTTGGACGACTTCCTGCTGGACAACCTGGAATGCGGGACATCGGCAATGAACTACTACAGTAAATTAAGAAGAATCACATCAAGCGTGTTCCCTCATCTGGTTCCAGTGAGTGATGTGGATTTTCTGCATTGCATTGCTCACAATAGCCGAAAGGACTGGTACAGAGAATTGATGAGGGTCGGCAGGCAGTGGAGACAAGTGAAGCAGCTCAAGTGGCATGGGTTTGGCCATGAGAAGCGAAAGCCGAAGGCAGGGGAGCTTGCACTCTTCTGTCCTGCATGTCCTCAGCCCGGTGTAAACCTCAGTATGTCAGACAGAAATGGATCCGACCCTGCATGGCTATATTCCAGATCTTTGGTCATGGATGGCAATTTCAAGGCCGAGCATTTACATCCCACCAATCCGACCGATGAAGTGGCATTGACTGACAGCTTGGGCTTCATGGTCAGCGACACCCGATACAAAATGCATCTATCCCAGGCGCAGGACATTGTACAAAGGTCAGACTGTAATAACCACCGAGCGGTCAACCAAGCAAATGCTTCCCGCCACCGGCTGGAAGCCACAGGGATAGGAGGGTGTGCTTGCGCGAGACACGGGTGTTTTGTCCCTCATTCAATGGTGGACTTTCAGAAGGGGGAAAGGTTCGCCGTTCCAACTGCTAAATCAGCCAGGTTGAACTGATGAGTTGGCCGGTCAAAGGCAAATGAATATGGATTACGCGCTGTGTCAAGCTCTGGGGTATAACACCGATAGTATTGATCGGGCATTGACTTTCTATGACATTAATTGTCAATACAACAAGCATCTGAGCAAGCGGATTGAGGACTCGCCCTATCTTGACCTTCCATGGGGCATGGAGATTATTCCTGGCATTGGGCTCTGGCATGTCCACGGCCATCAAGACAAATGCTATGTGCGGTATGCATCCAATTTCATAACAGGTGCCGCCAGAATCGACAGCGAAATCATGGAGACCCTGTGGGCGCCTTGAACATCATATCACCGTCGGCAAGAGGGATGTCCACCCCTCACCGAAAGGAGTGTTTGGACTTTCAGATGAATGATTGCAATTTTATGAAGATGATATGCATCAGTGAGCAATATCATGTTATCCAGCTAGCAAATTCAAATGCATTTAGGCAAATTCCTTTGCCGAAAATTTAAGGAGGCCGTGCAGGGAGTCCAAGACAGCCGACATGCATTTGACCGGTTGAGCGAGACCGCCGAGGATGACACCCTTGTCAAATGGGAAGCAGAGGCCACTGCTGCTGAAGATGACCGACTTCATAATCCCAGCTCCATGGATATATATGAAGTTCAGTTGACCAAAGGTCCGTTGCAATGGGACTCTTGTATATTGAATATGCTGATGTCCTTGTGGCACAGCACCAACAAGAAAACAGCAAGAGTTGCACCTACTGAACCGTCAGGCACAATGGCCCGCCGGTGAGATTCACCGGGGTGCTGCAACTTGGCTGGCCTGTGGAATGACACTGGAGGAAGTGCAAGTAGCCCTCCTGATCAATGTCAACAAGTTGGGGAAACGGACGACTGACAATCAGAAGCTGGCTATTGCCCGGCGTCGTGACAGATTGCAAGGTCAACTAGATGAATTTGTGAGGGTCGCACCGACATTTCTTGGCAATGAATTCAACAGCTGCAACCATTTGGACAGTATGACAGTTATGTTGGACGCAACAGAATTGGATTCCGTCGGATCATCATCAGAGGCTCCCGATCGGTCAGATGATGAAGACCAACGTGATATATCGGTGGAGTTCAATCCCGAGACCGTGGTGATTCCATTACTGTCAAACATCAGCATCGAAAGGTGCACCGAGTGGGGCGTCTCCGACCTTGTGCTACAAGAAATATCCTTAAGAGAGGGCCAAGCAAACGATGCATTGCATGCTGTGAGGGTCAACTTGGCCGACAAGGCTGTTCTCTTTCGCACCACGGTTCAGTCGGCAAAGTCACAAGCACAGTTGACCAGAGCATGGGCTCGTGTGCACTCAGTTGACAGAGTTCTTAACCTCAACACACAGATCTACGCAAAATGCCGGAAGCAGCTCATTAATCTCGGTGCCGATGACTTATTGATGAAGTATTGGCTATTGGAGAAGGCCGACCTCAAGGCCACTACCGTGGTGGCAGACCCAAATGCCCGTGGTCAAAGAAATAGCACATTAGCCTGGTTTTGGTCCATTGACGTCGAGGGGGATTCTACCAGCAATGACTGGATGAATGAATGTATGTACTTCGCCGACCTACCTCTTCCTATATAGTCGTAATTTACTTGCCAAATAGTTTACCATGTCCATTGGCTCAGGACATTGGCACTGCGAAATCGTTGGGAAGAGGAGCTACTGCTGGTCGGTCGAGAAATGACATGGACGGTTGCATTCTTTATGCATAAATCTCAACAATGGGTCCGCCAAATGCAGGAGGCCGATGCAAAGGACATCATTGGGCACCGCTGCTATGCAGCCCGCCAGGCTCAAATGTATCTCCGACTATCCCAGCATGCAGAAGACAGCTTTGAGAGAACAAAAGGGGTGGCTGAGGTTGCGGAGTGACCGGGGTCCACATGCAGCTGCTAGATTAGTCATCAGTACAATGCCAATCCCCATAAAAGTTTTTTCCGTGTTGATGTTAACTACCACCATCATGTCCAACTCCCTAACATTGCATATGAACTGAGTGACTTTACTCCGTGGGATGCTGCCAATGTTCTAGAGTTTGCTACGTCTCGATTCGCCGCGATCTGGCTGGCTTGCGACCGAAACCACATCCCTCGAACGCCGGCTTACAAAGCCACCTTCATTTGGCATCTTCAGTGGGAGGCAGATGTAAGTACATCATCGTCCGTCGGTCGGTCGGCCATTGTGATCTTGTAGCTGATGCCTAAATCAGTGTTTTGTATTCCAATATATTAACATATCAGTGGTCCTCAACATCCACCCAACCATGCCCGACCTTCTCTGCAGCATCATCGGCAGATTTACCCGATTCCAAACTGGAACCATCACA